TGAAAAGCACTCTCTTATGACAACATTACAGAACTTAATTTCAATCTCCACCTTACAAGGATATTAACTGGACAATCAAAAGAAAAGCTATTTACCCAGACATTAACACTTCTGTCCACAGGATGTGCAGGTGGTTCTGCCTGATGGTTTGCAGTACGTCTGTGATTATTACCGACTCATTTTTGGAGGCATGTTGAAAATACGATCCTAAACATAATCAAGCAGCAAACTATTATGATAGCAAGATAAAAAAAAGAGATGTCCACAATTAGAACTTGTTTTAAAAAGAAATCTGCTATTAAATATATCAACATATTAGTGTGTTAAATTGCGGTAGATATTTCAGTGCATGATACAGCGATGCCTTACGTATAGTTGTACCCACTAACCTTATGTCTGTATTTTCTCTTTTAAGACCTTATTTTAGAGACTACTTATTCTGAAATGTTTTTATTTATCGTGTCAGATACTTTAGGCCACCTATTCAGATGCTCTGAACATCAGCAGCTCCTGCTTGACTGAGATGGGAAGCTTGGATGTTTAAAAGTTATAGCAGAGAAATCTTGGGCAACAAACTCCAGTAATTCTCCCTTCTCCCTCACAGGTGTAAAAACCTATTAAGGTAAAGTTAAAAAACCCTATGACCTCATAGCAAGACAAGATGTCAGATTTTCCATGTCTTCTACAGAAAAACTCCAATATGAGCACTCCTGTTCCTCTCTCGTGGGTAGCTAAGCAGGCAGAATTGAAATAATGAGTTTACTTCCCTAATAGAAAAGACTTCCCCAGAACTCAGTGAGGACAATTTAAAAATGACGGTAGAGGGGAAACAAAGACGCCTGCAAGCTGACTTTTATTTTTTCACAATGTAAAAATTATATTTGTACTTCTATAGCAAGGGAACGGCCATACTGGAAACAAACCCAAACGGTTATGTTTTAATTTGCCTGCCATTTCAGCCACAAGCGATACAGCCCTAAATGCCTGGTCAGTAGGGCACCAGTAATACAGTATTCCCTATCAAAATGATTTGATTTTAACAGGCAAGATAACGTGATGAACTAAAGGATCTCTTAAGAAATCTTGTATTTTTCCTTGAAGACAAAGATAACCTGCTACTTTTCCATTCAAGATCAAAGAAGGGAAATAATACAAGGAGACAAAGACAGGAGAGAGAGAGAGCACGCGGGAGCATATTTGAAGCTTCAATTTTCTCTCTAACATTTTTTCTTCTAAATCAGTACAATCACTAGATTCACGCTATAGAGAAAGAAGATTAAAAAGGGAGGTTATATATGGCCAAAAAGAACTCTAGGCAACTTTGCTGATGTGTTTAAAGCTGCTGTATTTTACAATTCTTATTTCAGAAGTAAAAATGATAAACAAAAAACAAAGCACTTTAATCTTCAAAGCAATGTATGATCAGTAACAACTTCATAGCACTCAATATTCAAGTATCATAATCTGTATTTTACTCCAGGAGAGAAAGATGTGTAGAGAACAAGTGATCTGACAGGGTCTAAGGCTGAACCAGGGATGGAACTCAAACATCACAAGCTTGTATGTTAATCATAAACCCGTGCTTTCATTTAAGAGTTGTTCTTTTGTTATCAGTTTTTATTTCAGCAAATGATTACTATAATAAATAATTATGGTCCTTTTTCCAGCCCCTACAAAACATTTGCTATACTAGCAGAAGTATATGCCAGGATTATTTGGCAAAATATTTAGCACAGCATACCCCTTAACTTACTATGCTTCTGCTACTAATCTAACCACTTCAAGTAGGTTACTTGACTATTTGCTCAGGTCAACAGATGAATAGCTTCATACTGGCAACAGCTTCCTTGTTAGACTACATTTACAGTCAGGGCATGCTGCAGGACATATCCAGCCTCTGGGTTAGAGCGGTGCTTTCGGACCCTTCACAGCTTTTGAGAAGGGAAGCCTGGCCTGGCATACTGAATCTGGCAATAATATTGGTCATTGATGTCAATCTCATCTTGATCCATCTAAATTACGAGAGATCTTTCAAGAGCAGAAGCAGCACAACGTAAAAAGATATTCACTCAAGGATTAATTTAATAGGAATTTTACAACCGCCCGCAGTACAGAAAGTTTGAAAAAAATCCTGAAATATTTGCACATCTATTAAGAAAAAAAGTTTCTCCTGGAAACTTACACCTCTCAAACTACAAGGAAAAAGATTTCTGTTTTATTGTACTGTAAACTTACTGTGATCTGTAAGAGTGCTGAGAGGTTTAATTTAAATACTAATACTGCAAGCAGGTTGAGGGATGTAGGGGGAGAAGAACTACTTAGCACCAGTAATGAGCAGAAAGAAAAAGAAGGCAGCTACAGTCCCCACAGACTATTTTGTTTTCAATAATTTTAGACTGTCTAATAAAGACTTTTAATAAGCTACTCTCAGCTATAAAGCTGCAATCAGCCTTTGTCAGAGAACATAATACTGCCCCAGACAGGAAAATAGTTCTGATATAATGAACAAGAGATCATCTAAATAAAAGCTTATTAAAAAAAAGGAGAAAAAAGTTCCATCAGCAAAAGACATAAATTATGCTGTCTACACAGCGTATCCTTTCATTTCTAAACCACTAGATTTCAAAAGGATATCTACTAAAGCAAAATACATCCTAAAACCCCACATTTTCTGGTTTACTCTACTCCAGTCCTAGTTTACAACTAGATTAACTTGCTTATTTAGAGGGTATTTGTGCCCTATAAATGCAACCTAAATTATGACTGATCATGTTAATTTTCTGGTTATAGCTCATGCTACCCACTTGGTCTCTAAGTGACACTGAGATTAACATTGCAACAGGATATCTAAATTTCAGACTATTTCCACTCCACTCCCTCAATTTAATGGCAATTCTCACTGAAGCTCCTGTCTAGCTAGAAAAGCCTAAGATGTACACACATGACAGGTACAACACACATGTTCTACTCCATTAAACACGAGGCTCCTCAAAACAGCAGGTCACCTTCACTGCTCAGAAATGCGGGTCCAACTCCACTGTTGCCAAAAAGAGTCATGCCCTCACAAGCTGGGACTGAATCTACTCAACATTTGGGTTTAAAAGTTGGTTTATAAAACATTACTAATTCTAGAAGAATTCACTATATCATCCTTTAAGAACTACGTGTACTGAATTTTTATCATTCAAAGCACTAACAACAGGGAAACAATTACCCAGGAATTCTTCTCATCTTTCCAGTATTATCACCAGCCTTTTCTTCCCAGCAACAGACTGTTTGTGATGGTAGTTATTGCATTTCACTGATCACTTAAAAATTATGGCTAAAACTTAAGTAAGACACGTTGTCAAAAAAATACCCAATCACTAAAACCAGCATAAAATCTGTCTTGAAGACACACGTATCACCTTCACAATATAGGTAGAGATTAAACAGAATCTCTTTTAAACCTCTTTTTAATGTCATTTGCTGGAGAGTTGGCACAAACCTCTGTGGCACTTGGTTATTGTACTTTGCTCTCATTTAAGGAAAAATAAGTTTATCAGAAAAAACAGGTAATTTAGGGAGTTTTAAGCAGCAAAATGGTAGCTTTCTTCTCTTGATACATTTCTGTCCGACCTCATGGGAAGGGGAACTGACTTCATCTGCAACTCAGAAGCTCTCCAAAGCACAGAAGTGCTAACTCCTTGTTAAAACATATAGTCCAAAGGACCCCAAACTGTCTAATGTTTGAACTCTCTTTGCACAGAAATAGAGGGAAATCACTCTTTTTGCAGGAGATTTTTTTTTCAATTTTTTTTTACCGCTAGAAGCCGTAAGCTGAACAGATAGATCTACATGCAACTACAATGTGTTAAAGAACTTAGGATTTACTGCTTTTAGTTTCAGACAAAGCAATACTCATAAGGAAATGTCAAGCTTTTCTCCTCCTTCTGTTCAGAGGAAAAAGATAAAATTGTTAATAGCTAAGATGACCACAAAAATGCTTTCTGCTTCTATCCATATCATTTTCTCTAACTAGTGGTAAAATAAGAACAGGTATGAAACTTGATTAAGAAATGCCTTTTTTTTTTTCTTTTTTTTCGGTTGCCAATATCATTAGATCAGTGCCTGAATATATACCAAGGATAGAGCAGACCTGAAACGCAGATTTCTCAAGCTGAAAAAATTCTCAGTGAGATACAGGCTTCCAATCAGCTCAGACAAAATGCTGCCAAGTACTGAATTAAAGTGTGAAGCAGCCAGTACTTTAAGAACAAGATGCCTAACACTGATTTTACAAACAATAGTTGATCAGGAAGTTAAACACACATCCAGAGTCTCACGTAGTTTCTCCACACTCAGAGCTAAAAATTCAACAATATGAGATTTTAAATCCTCCTGCGCTCTGAGATTATTCAGGATTCTCCTTTCCTGTGGATGCACAGACTCTCCCCTCCCCACAGCATCACCATCTAATAGACTGGGCAACACTTGCACCAATCACCTAACGAGAGCTTTTTCCCCGTTTTAAACTTGTTTGTACTTTCAAACTATTTCAGGCTATCTCAGAAATACTGGGCGTATATATAGTTATACACACCCAGAGCTACAGTAAGAGGTCACAGAAAGGGCTTCTCATTGCCATTTCCTAGCAGTTCCCAGCCATTTCAATACGAAGGTTAAATCACTCCAGAAGCCACCCTACAGGGCTTCCATTGTTTGTCAGTCCGGGCTGGGACACAATGGCACTCATTCATCTGCACAGCCAACGAGCAGCCAAGGGCCAACCATCAGCATACGGTCTCATTTGGGGTCTTCTGCAAACAGTTTGTAGAAAGATGGCATTTCAAATCAACTGTGTCAATTTCTCAAAGCTTCAGTGCATTCCCAGTACAAACCACTTGGTAGGGAGTCCAGGCAAAAATTAAGACGACTTGAGAGCAAGATGAAGAATCACCCAGAAAACCACTCACTCATTAGGACTGCTCCTGAAAAAGATCTGTTTGCTACAACCACATGCAAAAAGATTACGTTTTAATAGTTAGAGAAATACACATTCAGAAACGTTCGACATGGCTGATTCTTTCCAGAGACAGTCACATCACGCTTTTGTTTTTAGAGTACCCCTTAGTGTTCAGCCTCAGAGCTTATGTTACTAAGGGGTTCAGACACCAATGTTCCAAAGTGCACTTAAGGCTGTTTACTTCATATCTTCTCGTTAAGAACCCAAGTGGTTTAAGGTTTGGTTTTTTTTTGTTTTGTTTTTGCTTGCATTTCTTTTGTTTCCAACATGTTAAAAATAGAAAAAACAAATGCAATATGACAGAAGTCCAATGCTGCTGATAACTGGAGAGACACAAGCTTCACGCACCTCTTCACTGTTTTGCCTTTTCTACTTCAAAACTTGCTAGAGCAAAGACTTTGTCTCCTGATCCTATGAGAGGAAAAAACATTTTCAGTAAGCAGTAGGAGAAATTGTGCATTTCCTTATATACAATTTAAATCAAGTGAAAATTTGAGATCAAAAGAAATCAAACCTACATTTTGGAAACTAGAACACTTGACCTAATTTTTTAAAAAAAGGGATACATACTGGTGTGACAGGTCTGAAACCAGCCATGTTGTATTGGGTTTGGCTGGGATGGAGTTAACTTTCCGCACGGCAGGTCACACAGTGCCACGCTTTGCACTTGTAGCCAGAGTGGTGTTGATAACACAGGGATGTTCTGGCTACTGCTGAGCAGTACTGGCACAGCATCAAGGCTGTCTCGCCCCCAAAGGCCAGTAGGCTTCCGGTGGGCAAGAAGTTGGGAGGGGACATCACCAGGACAGCTGACCCCAAATGACCAGAGAGATAGTCCATACCACATGACACCATGCTCAGCAATAAAAGCGAGGAGAAACGAGAAGATGGGGGATTTGTTACTAAGGCATTTGTCTTCCAAAGGAACTGCTACATGTACTGAGGCTCTGCTTCCCGGGAAGCGGCTGGACATTGCCTGCTGATGGGAAGTAGAAAATAAATGTTTGTTTTCCTTTGCTTCTGTGCGCAGCCTTTGCTTATTTAACAGCCTTTACCTCGATCCATGACTTCTTATTTTCTCCCCCTGTCCTGCTGAGGAGGGGGCATGAGAGCGTGGCTTGGTGGGCATCTGGTAGCCAGCCAAGTCAACCCACCCCACACACAGAGAGCTTCTAATGAAGTACTCTTGGCAACAAAAGGGTTCTCACTCTGCTCACACCCTCAGAAGGAGGAGTACTGAAAGGTAGGTCACAGAGCCAGTTTATTTGTACCCTGACCTGGTCTGGCACGTTCCTACCATTCCCAGTTCTTTCATCACAGTTCTAACTGTAACACTAGAATGAACTATTGTGCTTACGTAATGCATGTTACAACTGAACTTTTGGTCTTGTCAGTATGATTGGAGTTCTGACAGTCATGGCAACAAGAGTGCTTTAAAGCTGTATTTTGACAATATGCCAATAATTGCCAAATTCTCTGCATCAAGCAGAGGAAATAGGTCTCCAAGAAAGTCACTAATGCAAAAAAAAAAAAAAATCTGTGTTTAACTGTAAGAGCGGTATCTTTGCTTGAGAGAGACAATTCATACCTTCAGCATTATGAGTTAACACTTGGCTTTTTATGGACATTTGGCACGGGATTCATTTATTGCCTTACTTTTTTCTCATTGATAGCGTATCAGAGTTTCATTGCTACTAAAATAGAAAACTGCCATCAAAATTTAATGGCATGAATATTTTGTTTGTATTTTCTCTTTCATAGGGGAATCACAGGTATCTCTATTAATCAGTGTTCAATGAGGCAAAGAAATTGGAAGTTATGAGAATGAAAACTTACCAAGGTCAGCGGAGACTCTCTCAAACTGGCTCAGGGCTGTACCAGCATTTGCTGACAAGAACATCTCATCATCTGGAGTGAGCTAAATCAAGAAGGGCCATAACTGTGAACTTGGTACCTTAACTGTGCACATTCCCACCACTGTAACTGCCATCATCTACATGGGCATATACACAAACCACGACAGGTTACAGCGATTCTCAGCTTGCAGCTTTTAAGCAGCAGTGTTATCTAACATATTAAAAGTGAAAGGAAAAATGCAAGCTACTCCTCCCATCACTGAATTTTTTCTCAATGGTGTCTGTCAGTCCAGAAAGGACAGTGACATCAGACATGCCTCTACAAGCACTGTTAAGTTTCAAGCTGACCTCCAGTGATAATTTTTGATGGAAAGGTCACACTTTACCCTGTACCAAAAAACTAAGCAAAAGATGTCTATTAGTTTTTTGTCATGTAGTCAATACAGTAATGAACTTGCTTCGTATCATCTACTGAGGAAAGTGAAAATATGCAGTTACTACCAGCTTTAACCATGATAAAAGTCAATGACCTAGAAACAGTTCTCTTCCTTTAAGTGACATTTGCACACATGTATTTTGCTTTTATGTACGTGCTTTGATGCCTTGTGACAGATGCCCATAAAATATTTACAATAATGAAGTAGTAACCTACATTTGGAAGGTTCAGATATTCTAAGTTAAAACTCGCTCACTTAAGTAGCCTCAGATATACATCCTTATTAAAGCAAAGCATAAGCGTGTCAAACTCTCCACACTGCTGACGTCAGTTTACTTATTAAAAATATAACAATCAGGTACAGGCATTCAGAATTACGTTGGAATGAGGGAAAAAGTATTACTTACCTGCCTTTGCTGTGCTTTGTAAGCAAGCATCTAACTACTTAACATTTTGCAGTATTGTGCAGACAAACATGTAGTATTTACCATCATTTTTCACATTCAGAACAGATGTGAAATTACTATCCTAGCGAGTCCTCTGTGAAGTAGGTTACTGATCATTTTAAAAGATAAGAGGATATGGCAAAGCACGGCCAAGTGGTTTGTGTGAAGTGATCCAAGGGACTCGGGCCAGGAGGATTAGATATCTTCCTGTACACAGCAACCCATTTTCTTCATATCCCATCAAGAAAGAGAAATAACAACTTCTCTTCCTCCCTCTAGTGGTAAAAAAAACAGAGATTGTTCTGCCACTGATGTATTCATGGAGGAAACAATCAGTTTATCACTCCTCTCTCCAATTTATTTATCTTACACCAAGAGGTATGTATCATCACCAACACAAAACTAAGTAAAGCTCAATGCATGTCAAGGTCTTGGATAGTTCCTGCCAGGTGGACAGGTGGAAGTCAGTCAGTAAAAGACTTGTTTTGTAGCTTTTACAAATATCACCAACTTGTACCAGCTTATATGCAATTCATTCGTACGACCTACCCTAAAAAGCATTTTGAAGCAGAAACTACCTTATATAAACGTAAAATACTATTTGATCTATGTTCAGCAGTGAGTGCTCCAGAAAGCTCAGCCTTACAATGGAAGGACATTTATGTACTACAAAAGCAAGCTGCATTTCATCATTTGTTCACAAACAAAAGTTGTAATTTCTTATTTTAATGATTCCAAATTCCTCTTCAACACATAGACAGAAACTTCTATTCACTTAACTATCATACCAACACCTTACCTTCTCACCGAGCTTTCTGAGGGCAGTCAGGATTTCCACTTTCTGCTGTGTGTACAGGTCTCGTCCCAACTTCCCCACCATTAAGTCTCGGTCCATCTGCATACCGGGGTGGAGGGGAAATAAAATATATATGCTTCCCATTAGTTTCACTCAACCCAACACTATGAGCAATGCAATAGCCTAAAAACATCATCAGTAAGTGTGGTACCCCTGGAAGTAAGGGACAGAGCTAGCCATATTTCAAAAGATGGCTATGAAGTTTTTCTGACCATTCTGCAAATACTCTTTTCATCTAGCCTTAGCATTCTTGTTTTCGCCAAACTTGAATTCTTTTAATCAAAGACTGCTATTCATTCAAAATTACGGATTCACATATCACTGATACATGGAAGAATCACATTTCACTTCACTTTATCTGGATCTCAAGTTTAGTCTAGATCTCTGGAACATCACGTGCACTCTCCAGCCCCTTAATACAATTAGATTCATATTCTTCACATTTTTTATTTGCATTTATACTTAGTTCACTATTAATCACATTTTCTATGTGTGATAGATTAAAAAAATCTATGATTTTTGTTTCGAAGCACCAAGATAGAAGATAATTCACGAAATACACATTGTAGTTCCCATTACCTCAATGAACATTTAAAACTGCACAAATTCTGAAAGAGAACTTCTCTATCTCCTTATGATGCTGCCACCAAGGTTTCCAAAATACTTGGTGCTCTCCTTGCAATCATCACATATTTAAATCAGTCTAGCTCAAATAAACAGTTTTTACAGTAAAACAGAAACCTTCACCTCTGCCAACCTTGTCCTCAATTGCCTTGGCTGTTTCTTCGCAAACATTCTAATTACTTCTGGAGTTTTAAAGGCTTGGCTGATGGCTGCTTGTATTGCCTACAAGGAAAGAGCAAGAATGACCACGACTAATAGCAGTTACAAGCTATAGCTGCTGACAAGATTAATGAAGGCTCGAAAGCACCTCATTAGGATCCTCTGCATCATTTGATAAAGACAGCTTTTCTTTTTTTTGCATAACCGCGGAAGCGAGATGAAAAAGCATATGACCTTTACCCATGGCTTGAAAAATCTACTGATTAGTGCAACCACATTGAGAAAGAGCTGTGAAACTTTTCATTACAGTCCAGGCCTTAATTTCTAATAATTTCCAACATCTTCCCAGTATTAACGCACCACAAGTGGATGTGCTAAGCTATCTTCAGCAGTTTTAATGCTCACACTAATGATTACAGCTCTTTTAAGGACAAGCAGAATATAAATGATGAGGTAAATTCCTACTGCGAGTCAAAATCCTCTATGGAGTATCAAAACTATTACGGTTAAGTCTCACCACAGGTATGTTTGGACAAATCATGATCTCTCTGGAAACAAACCCCTAAAACATATGGCTCAGAAGGAACAAACAATGCTCTAACTAAACACCTAAAAAGCGACAAAATAGATCAAAAGTTTGGAAGCCTGCATAAAATAAGATCGATTCACTAAAAGAACTTAAAGTAACACAATCACTCCTACAGCCTTTTCATTTGGACTGGTATAAATCTCTGAAATATAAATCAGCCACAAAAGCACATGAAATGTTATCTTTATTCTTTCTAACAAAGAGGCATGAACTTTAATTCTCATGATATATATATAGTCCTGGATTGTCCCTCACACCTTTTATATTGATTTGTATTATTTTGTGTTATTTTCTAATATTAAGGATCTGATATATTAGTCCCACAATTGCCCAGTTTTTCCTACAGTGTTATGGTTATAATTCTTCAACATTTTCTTCCTGTTAAAATGAAGAGACTAATCAAGTTTTTGCATGTACACATCTATCAAATAATAAAAACATCAGATACCTAGATCTAGCTTTCACACATGCATGTCTAAAAATTATAATGAACTGCTTGTATCTATTTTCTGTTTCATTGAGTCCAGGTACAATGTAAACTATTTTTAGTAACATGTCATCCTTACCAGTTGCATTCCACTGAGTTCGTCCACCAAAGTCATATCTCCAGACATTATCTTCTTCAGCGAGTCATTGATCTCACTCAGCTGTTCTAGAGTTTCTTTTTTGGTCTCTTCATACTCATCTGCATCGAGCTCCTCTCTAAAGAGGATGCAACAAGACACATTAATTCACAGGATTAAACCTGAGATGTTAACATGGAGGAAAGGGTATCAGGGAATATCATGAAACATACTTCCTCAGAAAGCAAGGAAAACATTCACATCCCTTCAGATTATTCTGCTCTAGCCCTCTTAACTGTTATTTGCTAACGCATAGAGAGTTTTCTTGGTTTTGCACCACCTTCCAGCCACTCGTGCACTTGTGGTGTTTGATTAAAAAGGCCCTGACGACTGCAAAATGTGCTTTTAAATACCACACCAAGTGTTGAGTATTCTGCATCTCAACAAAAATATGCAGTGAGATTGTCTTGCTCAAAGCTATGGTGAATCAAATTACCTGAAAAGCCCATCTCCTCACCCAAAAAACATCAAGTTATGCAGGAATATCTGATCCTGCTGCCTAAACCTTGCCCAATTCAAAGTACAACACTACCAAGCCTTTCAGTTCTTGAAAAAAACAGGTACTGCTTGGACAAGTTGGAATTAGAGAAAGCATTTAAAACCACACATGATATTTAAGTGCAAGTACTGAAATAAAAAAAAAGCTTTTCCTTGGTAATTCAGTCTATCTCAAATTTTATTAGCCCACAAAAACCTATAGCAAAATCACGTCAAACAAACCACTAAAACTTTAGGTAAACTAAAAAAAAAACCCAAACAAAACCCCAAAACCCCAAACATTCATAACTGTAAGTCAAAACAAAGCAGACACAAAAGCTATTTGCTGCTATTAAAAAAGAAAAAGCCCGTATAAAAATTGTGAATTCTGTGAACAGCTACTAAAAGTTCAAAAGTCACACTGAAATATGGAATTTCAAAGAAACCAGTAATGAGTATTTCTGCCCGCATTTTCCTCGAGATGATAAACAGAATGATCTTAATAAAAATAAAGGTTTTTCAAAGTAATTTTTACTACCTAACACAAACATCCTACTCAATTTAAAAAATATAAAGCCCCAGCAAAACACAAAATAGAACTAAAAACTCACGAGATTTTTAAAAAGTACCACTTTATTCTGCCAATCACGTAAGAAAAACATTCCCATATAAGAGGAAAGCATCTGTTTTTATTACCTGCACTCCTCCAGATCTTGAAGCTGCTGCATTAATCTATCCAACTGCTCTTCCAAATTTTGTTTTAGTTTACTGGTCTCTGTCGTTCCTCTTGAAGCCATTTTCTGTTTTCACATGAAAATTTTCACTCGTTACATGACACTCCTAGGAGAAAGAATATCTTATTTTTGTCTATTAACAACTGAAAACTTATTTTAAAATACTCCAAGCATCAATAAAATGATGCAACCCCTTGATGACGTAACGTCTCATCAAAACACTTGGAGACTCCTTGCAGGGGAAACAGCGAAACGTTAGGCTGGGTGTACTGGGTTGCTCTCTTTGCAGCACGAGGCAGCTCATCAAGGCGATAATTGAGAACAGCCGCGGCACAGGAGAACAAACAAGTCTGAGCCCAATTAGCGAATTACAGAGGTCCCGCTATGAGAAACAACCGATTCCACCCTTCGGCTGCCCGCGGGAAGCGATCTAAGAGACAACCACCCGGATGCAGATGCCTGCAGCGTGCGAACCCCCGAGCCAGACTCGCGCGCTGAAACCCGCCATTCCCAGGGAATTTCCTGCTGCTGTGGGTACCAACGGGAGCGGGCGCCGCCGGCTGCAGAGCCGCTCGCCAGCCCGTTCCGCGCTGTGCACTGACAAGGGCAGACAAGGAGACGCGACCCCCCCGCGGGGAAGGCCGAGGATCCCCCAAGCCCCC